AAAATTTACATGCAAAATAGTCATTCCAGTATCGAAGTCCGTATAAATTCCATAATCATATTGCCTTAATCTTCTGCCGAGGACCCCTCTTGTTTGATATGGTGCCTCACTTTGAGTAACTTGAGCTGCTTGTTCAGTTGGTCTTCTTCTCACCCGATAATGACAAAATAATATCAACTAAAGCCAAAGTTTGCTCACTAAAGATTAATACAAATACATATATTGTATAGCTTACTGGATATTTTCTCCTAGCCTGTGCAACAGTCAAGGAGGAGGTTGCCCTTGAACCCGGGCCTCCAGTTGGCTTTTCAGCTGGTTCTTGAACTTGGCCTTCGGTAGGCCCTTCAGCTAGACAATTAGCATGTCTATCAACTGGCCCTCCAGCAGGCATTTTAGCAACCCCTTCAATAGGCCCTTCAGCTGGTTCTTGTGCTGGCGCTACACTTGATCCAATTTGAGTCTCTCTACTTGGCTGTTGAAGCAACATCAGTTGCTTTTTCAAATGACAACCACCTTTGTTGTGACCTTCCTCACGACAATATGAGCATCTCACCTTTGCACCTGACTTGCTCATCTTCTTACTTCCAGACTCTCCCTCTTGCTTTCTCCGTCTCCTTTTAGGCCTTCCTATTTGCTTTTTAAGTGGCAAAGGATGAGGAACTTCATGATTTGTCGGCTCCCAGAATTTTGTACTTCTAATAGGCTGCATCATGTATTGGTATGCAGCAAGATATGTGCTTTTGTGGTAGCAACCATGCAGGTATTCCTTGGGATTTTGGTACTTCGCTTGGATGGCACAAATGGAACGTGCGCAGGGAATTCCAGAAAGTTGCCAAGCTCGACATTAGTAATTTCTTTTGTCTAATTAGACAACATACTTGTTTGTCTTTTCCATGACCTCATAGCCATTATCTCTATTCCAGATAGGATGACAGAACCTACTACTCGCCAAGTTGTCATCCAATCTTTTAGCAATCCCAGGACCACACTGTCTAGTCCACTTCGCAGCCTCATCTCTATATTTTTGCAGCCTTATCATGACTATCACTCGAATATCCTCAAGCATGCTGATGATTGGTTTGCACCTCGCCTCTAAAATTCTGCCATTGAAGGCTTCACTGAGATTGTTATCGATGATATCACTCTTGAATTCTTCACTAAAGAAGGTCTTGCACCAATGCTTGAGTTCAGTTTGGAAAAGTGCTTCATAATCGTTCTTCGTCAAGTCAAGCAGCTACTATTTGTGAATTCTAAAATCAGCCATGTTAGTGCTCTTAGCTATCATCCAAAATTGCTTCTGTAGTTTCTCCCCTTTGTAGATCTTTGCCCAGTTTGCATATATGTGCCTCGCACACATCCTATGTTCAGCAAATAGCATCAGCTCAGCTAGAGCAAGAAGAAGTCTCTACAAGAATTCATACATCAAGGCATTAATAAAGGCATGTGCAAGATAAAATATGTCATAAATATTATTTGTGCAGTTGCACCAGCATTATCTTTTGTTGGTCGCTCATGAATACCTAACCTTTTCCATTAGTGATCTCAAGGTCTGCCATCAAATTTTTCAGGAACCACAACCAAGTGTCCTTGCTCTCTACCTTTACAACAGCCCAAGCAATTGGAAACATCTGGTTATTACCATCCCTACCAATGGCAGCCAACAATTCTCCCTTGCACACGCCCTTCAAGAAACATCCATCTAACCCTATGACTCGTCTACAACCAGCAACAAATCCCCGCTTGCATGCATCAAAGCAAATATAAATTCAGTCAAAGTTGGTCTCATGGTTAGGCAGTGGCCGCTCCACAACCTCAACATAAACTCGATTAGCCGGGTTTTGCAGCCTACATTCTCCAGCATATTCCCAAATTTGACCATATTCTTTCTTGTACCTCCTTAGAAGTTTTTTCAACACCTTCTGTTTGGCTCTTTTGCACTGATTGAGTGACACATTAATCCCTACCAATTGCTTCAGCTAAGGACACTTCACATCAGGCATCGTTTTGATGGTATTAAAGAAGTGCTTCGACAACCAAGTACTCATTACCTTTTTGTTGTCAAACATGATGGAACAAGTATGTTCTTCCTGGAGTGACCTAATTTGAAAAAACCCATCCCTCTTTGAACGTGCGCCATATATCTTCCACGAACAACTAGGTTGATAACACTTTGCCCTAACATAGTCCTTCGTATTTCGAGTAAACTAAAGACTCCTCTGTTCAGCTATTGAATACTTGATAATCCCTTCTTTGAACTTCTTGGCATCAGAAAATTTCATACCTACAGTCAACACAGAAAAAGAAGAGCCAGGATCATAGAGTGGATACTTACGTTTCCTTCTGCGCACAACGGGATCATCATCTTCATGCTGATTTTTAGAACTATTATTTTGTTCATCAGAGCCACTTTCTTCATAATCAGTGTCGTTACTTTCAGCTGGAGCTCTATCAGTGCTATGTCCTGGTTCAGCTTCACGCAATCCTCCAAGTGCAGCTATTGATTTTTTTTCGAAATTCACTTTGCTTTTGCCTTGACTGTGCAAGTTTCTCGTCGTCATCATCACTTGGGAAATTTACATTTGCCACACCCTCATCATCTGATTCACTAGATACAACAACTTTCCACTACAATCCAGTGAACTCCAATCCAGTGAACTCTTCACTCATTGCATGGCTTGCCTCTTTCTCATTAGGGGTGAGCATGATGGACTGCCCGAACCGAGACCAGATCGGACCGGACCGGACTGGCCGGTTTGGTCCGATTCTCGATAGTATCGGTTCGGTTCCCGGTTCCTAAAGTGGAACCGGTTTCTGGGCGGTCCGGTTCCTGGTTCTAGGGTGGGAACCGGACCGGACCGGACCGATAAATATATATATTTACTTTTTAAATTTTTTGGAGAAAAAAAGAAAGCCTAATCTATTCCCTCTTGCCTTTACCAATTTTTTTAAGGACCAATTCCATTGGTTCCATTGCAAAATGGAATTGGTTCCATTGGAACGTGATTGGTTCCATTTGAAAATAGAAAAATAAATATATTTATTTATTTAAAATAGAAAGCCTAATTTAAAAGTACATGATTGGTTCCATTGGAACCGGACCGGACCGATGGTCGGGTCCGGTCCACGGTCCTAGGACTAGCCGGTCCGGTCCTCGGTCCTAGAAAATGGGAACCGGTCCTCCCGGTCCGGTTCCCGGTTCTTGGGTGGGACCGGACCGGACCGGGAACCGCTCACCCCTATCTATCATCCCTCTCTTGCCTCTCATGTCCAGCTTCATCTATAATAGAACTAGCACAAACTTGAGTACTACGTAAAGCAACACCATTCCTTACATCTCCTCCCTCAGCCCCTTCATCAGATTCGCCATCACTATAGGACTTAACGTACACAACAACTTCTTTTCCACCAAGATAATGGTAGATGATATCCTTAACACCATTATCATCATGAAAGTTTCTAATGTCGTCCTTCAAGTTGCTTCCAGGAACACAATAATGCAAACTTCCTATTTTGCATCTTAATTGTTGAACTATATCCCTCACGAGATTAATATATGCTGGCTTACTTCTATCGAAGTAAACAGTACCTTCAAGTCGCCCAAAGTATTCCCACTCATTAGTGTCGATGACAAATTCTTCTCCATAACGAATAATGATGCCGAGAATTGTGTCTTTATCCCCCATGTCGACCCTACATTGAAGGAAAAAAACCAAAAAAGTCAATATTTTAACTTTCGGGACCACACCACATGGGAAAAAGAGCACAGCTTCACATGGAGGTCCCCCACATGGTCGACAAGATTGAAAAAGCCACCATCAGACCACATGGGTGACAATGACAGAGGTCCCCACATGGATCACAGTCTATAGCATATACTCAGCCCGACACCAACACAAATCTGCTTTGAAACCGTATTATTATGACTGATGCAGAAACTATAACGAAATTAAAACTAAAAAGAATAAAGAATACACAGATTTACGTGGAAAATTCTTATGGGAAATACCATAGGGAGAGAGGGCAGCTCACAGCTTGGGCGAGGGCAACGAGGGCCCAGCCCTTGCCCTCGTCAGCCCTGGCGTATGGCCGATCGTCAATGGCCGGCGGCCGGCAACCGGCCATAGCCAAGGAAGAAGAAGAAGAATAAAACCAAGAAGAAGAAAAAGAAAAAAAAAAGAAAAGGAAATTTCTTTTCCATTTCTGATTCTATTCCAAAACTGATTCTGGAAACAAAATTTTGCAAATTTGTGCCCGAGATCAAAAAATTTACCAAACAGATTTCTGTTCTAAAACTAATTCTGAAAACAAAATAATATAAATAGTTATTATTTGGTCGGTTGCCAAACGCACCCTAAATATCTCAGTTTTAATGTGCTTAACGGGTCCTAAAAACTCATCTATCTTAGTAAAGCTCCAAGTCTTTCTCATAAAAAAGATTATGACAAAATTATCTCCTCAACAATGAGAAAAGTCACACTTGGCTGCTTAAATTGATGTCCTCTGCTTGTCAACCTTTGATATATCTAGCATCAAGGAAACATCCCAGGTAGATACTGGGATGACTCTCGACTTCTCTAAATTTTTCATCATGTCTCTACTTTTCTAGATTTATCTAAGACTAAGGGTGCGTTTATTTGAGGAAAAGTGTTTTTCACGAATCTGTTTTTTAGACTTTCACCTATTTGATTCGCCGAAAATGATAAGCTAACTGAAAATACTTTCCGGTTAAGAAAAACATTTGTATATAAAATTAGGAAAGTGAATTTCCTAATCTAAGAAGGTGAAAACACTTTGTAGAGTTGCTCATTTTGAATTTGTTAATATTTTTTCTTTCTTTTTTTCTTTATTTTTCTTTTTCCTTCTTCCTCCCTCCGCTGCCTCGGACGAGCGAGGCCCGTCTCCTTGCGTCGATGCCGACGCCGCCTCCAATGAGCGACGCCCTAACCTCCGCCTCCGCCCTAGCCTCCAATGCCGACGCCGCCTCCGACAGGCTAGGATTTTTCCATGGTGGAATCACAAGAGGCACCGAGTATTTTCTCGACAAACAGTTCCGTTTTCTTGAGGGAGCCAACCAGATTCCCACAAACTGAAATCCGAAGTCCAAGTATTATTTTGCTTGCCTTCGCATCGCTTGATAAGCCATCACCTGATCTGAGAGCTGAGGTCTTATCGGCGAGTGTATTCACGATCCATAAGGCATGACATTCTTCGCTTTTGTTGTTTTCCCCCCTTTCTCTTGATCTCTCTTGCTCTTTCTCTGCTTGGGTATCTTTTGACTTCCTGTTTTGGTCCCTGAAATTTGGTGATGAATAGTTAGATTCTTTGTCTATGACCAGCTATTCTGCTTAAAACAAGTGCATTCATAATTATGCTGGTAGCTGGTACTCTATCACTTATTGTGGTTTCTTCATATGATGATTTAGAAGTGGGCACATCTACAATATGCCTGGAGGACCAGTTAAGATTGCTAGGATTTATCAGTGGAAATGATGGTTCTTTATATAGATCAACTCGTGATCCTGCTTTCTTCAAGGATATAAGTCTCAAAGCCAATCTATCAAATAAAAAGGTTCTTTTCTTCTTAGGGACTATAAACCTTTTTTGTTGTGTTAGCCATAATTTCCATTGTTTGCACTTTTGATTCCTGTGCTTCACTAATGTTTCCCTGCCTCATTAGATAAGGGATGGGATTTTATCTATGGGAGCAAGTGATGCATACAACCTACTGAGAAAGCTTTTGGCCTTGTGGCAGCTATGTTCTTTCCAAAAATATTCTGAAAACACTTCCCTGATTGGTAAGCTTTCAAAATAATTGCTCTATAGATTGGAGATTCAATCTGCTATATATTGAAAGAAACTAAGGCGACCTATGCTTGTTTGTAACTCTAAATAAACATGTAGCTGCTCTTGATCAGCCTTTATTTCTCTTTCCAAATCGGGCTGGTAATGTGGAGTCATGAATGTCTGCTTGGGGAGAAAAATTAACCTTGACCTTAGCCTTGAGAGATCAATTAAGGTTATCTTCATGCGGTTGCATTGGTCAGGACATGCTCCATCAGATTCATTTGAGTTCAATTTAACAAGTTGTGAGCTCCAGTTTGAAGTCCACCGTTTCAGGAATGCAGTTGCTTTATCATGACCAAGAAAAATTTAGGGATTAGCACGGCTTCATTTCATAAAGCACTTTAAACTTTTGAAGGGTATGTGAAGAAAGCTTGTGCTTGAAGGGATAGTTAGGTTCTTTTTTCGATTATTTGCACATGCACCCACAACTTAAGTGCGTGTTCTTTATTTGAGCTTTTGCGGTGCTTTATGTTCAACTGAGAAATTGGAAAGATATTTCGAGGGAGTGATAAAATAAAAATCGAAACTTGACTCTAATTTTGTAATCAGGAGGAGGGATTTCTTCTCCCTTGTGTTTTTCTTTTGGTTCTTGGCTTTTCTCGATCACTATTTTAAGGAGGGCACCGTTCGGCTTTGCTTCAATTGGCCCAGAGGATGCTCTATTGGATCTCTCTTTCGAAAGAGAGGAAGGAAGCAATGCGGGTGTGGAGTGGCTGTCAATTTTTTTATGGTGTTGTAGCTTTAGAGCTCTGTTGTCCTGTGCATGGTTGTAGTGGTGGCCACATAAGTTGTCACACCCCAAAACCTACCAGGATAATGGGGGTGAGCAACCACAGCTCAGTAAATAGTGCGTATCTATTCTAAGCAGATCGAGCAACCACTATGCATATATAAAGTAATATCGAAAACTCGTAATTTAAACCCACAATATCATATATATATCATATCAAATATGAGTTATTTTCTTTTTCACAAAACTCGATACAAACCAGAAAACATTCATTTGGTACAACATCACAATTCAATCATCAATGGTCAAATCCATTGATTAATTTCGTCAAATCACACGTCAATGGTCCAATCCATTGATCAATCTCAATAACTCACATATCAATGGTCTGTTCCATTAAGTAATCTCATTATAAAAGAGCTCGTTCGGGGTAGAGGCGCAGCCGCACTGCCATCCCTCAACTCGACCCGATATTATCCTTTTTAAGCCGTAGCCGCACTGTCATCTCTCTCAAGGATTTGCCCTGGCACAGTAGAAAACACATCGATGGTCTATCCATCGACCAAACCAAAGCTTATGTAATCCAACTCCAGCATATTTCAAATGTCAATTCAAAATACGTTATGTACTACTTTAACATGACATTTTCACAATAAAAAAGCTCTTTTTAAATCAATAATATCAAAACAGAAACCAATGGTCCATTCTATTGGCCAATCTTGTCAAAAGCACACGTCAATAGTCTATTCCATTGATGAATCTCATATCATATCATACGTCAATGGTCCATTCCATCGACCAATCTATTGCTCAATATCAAACTATGATCACGCATCTTGCCCCGTGATAAAGCGACCAAGATTCCCCCCTTGGCAAGATCTCTACCTACTATAAGCCGGTGGCTCGGCCCACAAGGATATCCTAGACTAGTATGCGCATACCTACAAGCCCCTCAATGGGATCACAGCGATATTAAGCACCAACACACATCCTCCAATAATCCACAATACCAAATCCATAATAAGTCTCACAATCCACAATCAATATCACTAATTGATTTCAGAAAACAAAACACAATCTTTCTTCGTCAAACTGAACACATTTCACAAACCAAGTATATGGCATTTCACAACTCAACTAAACCACCAAAAATCTCTTTTGTAAAGTATGTCTCAAATTATTTGAAAACTCGTTTTTTAAACCATAATACATTTCACATACCCATTTCATAAACCAAATTCACAAATCAATATATATATACCTCATTTCGCAACACTATTCTCAAAACGTATTTCAAACCATTTACAAATACCAAAATGTAATAGATGCCCAATCCATCCTTTTGTGCAACAAATATGCTCTTTCACAACTCATAATATATCGAATCTCTTTTGCTTTCAAGACATGAGTTTAGAAATTCATAGAAGAGATAACACCACTCACCTGGAAATGCCCCATAACCAAACAATGTGTCTAAACTCGCTGACGATCTCGTAATCCTAACAATTAAACGAGAATCGACATCAATACCAAGTAAAATACTATTTTCACTTATGACTCGACTAAACCAAGCTTAGATGCTAACCAAAACGACTCAGGCGCTCTCACAAATCGCTCCTCCAAAGCGATTATCCAAATCGTCTACAACGCGAAACTTGAACGCGAAACTTGATCGCGCCATAATTTTCTCCATCAGGCTCCGATTCTAACAAACTTATAGTCAAAAGAAAACTCGTTCCGAGTATTACAAAGGCCCCAACTTGGCCAGCCCAAAATTGAGCCGAAAATCGACGAAAATCGGCCTAAAGCCCACTGGTTGCGCACTGTTCACCTTGTGCGGCCAACTTCAAAAATTCATTTTGGGCAAACCGTAGATCCAAATCAAGATCTGTAAAATCCCATAGCTCCACGACACTCTAAACTATCAATTCTATTTATATATATAACACAACGACTCAAAAATCGAACTTCGTGGCTCGAATTTCCCAAAATTCCAAATTTAAACCCTAAATCGGAAAACTTCTCCGATCGGACAAACGAGGGGCGCGAGTGCTTACTGAGTGTTACGATACTAAGTCGGATCGGCTAGGTGAGGTTCGCGTGGCGCAAAAACCTCTTCCCTTCTTCTTCTTCTTCCTTCTCTCTTCCTCTCTTTCTTTCTTTTCTTTTTCCCTTCCTCGGCCGAGCATGCTCTCGGTTAAATAAGCTGAAGCCCCATTGTTCAGCTTTTGACTTTTTTACTTTTTGACCCTTTTTTTTCTAAATATTACATAAGTGATTGAGTAATCTTTTAGTGTGTTGTACTTTTAGAAAATGCTATGTGCAAGGATTTGGCATTGTGCAAGTAGTTCTGCACAATGCCAAGTAATCAATTTTTTTTCAGAATGAAGGATTAGAAGTTGTTAAGTGCATATAGACAGTTATTGAAAATCAGCTTATATCTGTTTTAACTGCTTCAGTTTTTGGAAATATAGCACCTCTTAAAAGCTAGAAGCGAGGGTTAAAAAGTCCTCCCAAACACCTATGAAGACTTCAATTTTATTTTGCCTTTTGGTTTTGCGTGTTGACTGTAAGAAACTGTAAAAAGGATGATCATCTTGTTTTGGTTCCTCGATTAACATGCTGGTCTCTGAATCTGCAGATGAATTCTCATGCACTTGGTTATATATTGACTGTGGTTCCGGGGCTATTTCTATTCCTACATGCAGATGAAGTTAAAATTAGATTTATGATTGATAGGGAAGAATGCTTTGCCCATGATGTTCAGTATGAAAAGGACACTGTTCATGTACCTTTCATGGTGAACAAATCTGATTCAGCTTGGCATTACAGTCAAGATGGTGTTGATCTTGTGGTAAGCTTCAGCTTTTGTTTGATAAGTTACTTATCGTGGTGACCGTTCTTTGATGTGCAAAAAGTGCTCATCCTTAAATGCAATGGTTTATGTCATTGACTTAACTGGGGTTGTGTTCAGCATTCATTGAAAGCTGATGATTCCTTGATGATTTGTTTTTGGGCATGACAGTCATGTCTTGTTCTACTCTTACCTGGTTAACTCCTTGGTTGGAAGTCTCAAACAATTTAAATGGGCAGATCAGTTGTTCGATTTTTTGAACCTCTTATTAGTCTCTGCTGCCTCGTACGAGGCATTGCTGTGACTGTTTTCAGCAAATTTTGACACTATGTTTGTGTATCCCTTCTTGAAAATATTATAAACAAAATGTTGGTTCTTGGATATCAGGACATAGACGGGGCAAAGCCAGTATAGGCATGTTAGAATGCTCATCAATTCTTATTTTGGTTAATTCTGAGGTTATTGATTAGAAGTTACTTGGCTGCATATATTGTGATGCACTTAATCTCGGAAAGTAGGCGAGAGTTCTTAATAGCACATAGCTCGTGGATCAGACGTAATAGCACATGTTTAATGGATCGAACGTAATGTACATGAAATACTGTACTCAGATATACTTTTTTTTTGTGAGGGATGCTGATTATCTTCCTAAAGGAGATTCTTCATTGTAGTTTATTAGCCTTTGGTAGCCTAGATGGGTCAACTAGATCTCGCATATGCACATTTAGTTTTCCTTTTTTATGTTTGTTGGGACATGCTTTGAATTAAAGTCATGTATTGATTATCGAATTCCTTAATTCTGTCAATAGTGTGCTTATCGATCTTTAATCCTTTGATAATGACCTAGCATGTTCTTTGCAACTTTTGAAATTGTCAGGTGAAAGGACCTTCTGGTAATCAGATTCAAGATTCTCATGACAGGATCAGTGAGAAATTTGAGTTTATGGCTCACCGTAAGGGTGTTCATCAGTTTTGCTTTACTAACAAGTCTCCTTATCATGAAACCATCGACTTTGATGTACATGTTGGCCATTTTGCATACTACGATCAGCATGAAAAGAACGGTAGGACTCTGCTTTTTTTCTGTTTTATTGTCTCTTGAAAACTTTATGAATATACCATGTGCAACTCTTTTTTATCTGTTGTGAATGTATCTGCAGAGCATATCAACCCCTTGTTGGAACAGATAGGGAAGTTGGAGGAGGCCCTCTACAACATTCAGTTTGAGCAGCATTGGCTGGAGGCTCAGGCTGAGCGTCAAGCAATTGGTAACATATTTTATGTCAAGTCCTCTTGCTATTCCAACCTTGTTTCATCTCGAACGGAAATAACTTTCCTATTTAATGCTGAGTGGACCACCATAGTTTGATTCGACTTCCGTTTTCTCTTAAATTTCAAAGGTTATCACAACGTCTGCTCTTAAAAGACCTTCGGAAGTAAATGTCTCAATAGACAAGTTAAAAGCTATTTCTAGAGCCTTTGACAAGCTCCTTTTATCCATTTGATTGACATAACTAGTCAGTTATTATGTTTATGATCCTGAAAATAATAAAACATACCTAATTCGGCATCAGCTGAAAAAGCGGACGTTGAAAACAAATAAGCCTAAAAAAAAGAAGATACGTGTTTGGTCGAGTGGGTTTCAAATGGTCATGGGTTTTGTTTCCATGTGTTATCTGCTTGATGTTTTGTAGTGTCTGATCACCACACGAAATGGAATGGGGATGACCTTGCTAATCAAATATTTTGTTCAATGATGGACATCACATAGATATCGCATTCAATGAATACTCATTCTATGATGATCTGTGATCTTAGTGAACGACGCAATGAGCAGAAGGGCAGTCCATAAGGCTTTCTTCGAGTCAGCAGCACTTATCGGGGCAAGTGTTCTCCAAGTTTACCTTCTCTGCCGCTTTTTTGAGAGGAAGCTCGATATCGCTCGAGTTTAACTTTGATACTGTCAGATGACGCCTAATTAATCATAGATTTTAGTTACCAATGCCAGTCTTCGATTCTCTTCTTTTAAATATCCATGGAGACATGTATAGACAGGGAACTGTTTACTTTGTGAAAGGTGATGTGATAGATGCATTTGAGATACACAACAGAATGCGTCAGGCCATGAAGAAATATTGGGGAATTCTATTAGGTTCCATCGTTAAGTTCATGGCAATTAGAACTTCCTAAGTAGAGAGTGAAGCTCGTATCAAATTGAAGCAAAAGAGATGGAAAAGATGGATAGCCATAGCTTCACAGTTTAGGAGTTGCATTTACCGGGCTTTGAACCTTGGTCTCAATCTTGAGGTCTTTCACTGGCGACGCATAACAGAAGCAGGTTCAGCACCATTAGCAGGGGTGATATTGGAGCCATGTCATTCATACCGGTCGCAGGGTAAAGGACGAGGTCGCAGGATAAAGCGTTTAGGTATGTAAACAGTCTATAATTCTCTCCACATGATGTAGCAGTGCCTATGAGTATAAGTTTGTCAGAGGTTCAATCATGACATAGCGAGAACTTGTGATTTTGTGGACAATAGGCGAGCATGAGACCACTGACCCAGCCAACCTGACCGGTGGCCCACTACATTGTGGCCTAAGGAAAGTCATCTTCAGTGGAATTAATAGCTAAGGAACGATTGTCCTCTCTATTCTATCACTAATGGAGACCAAGTCAATGGCCTGTCTCAATATAAGTTCTATGTTGACAACAGTCTTGATGATCACGCGGGCCACTAACAACAAGCCATCCATTGTTAACGCACAAATCGATTTTCCATATTGATGGGACAAGTTAACCTGTTTTCCACGGATTTTTGGCAAAATTCTTGCTTAGATCCGGTCTAAGTGGACCTGATCCATCATAGTCACTAACCACATTGGCCCCATCTGTGAGTCACACTTGATCACCTGCAAATGCATGTTAGGTCCATAACTGAGATCCACACAATAGTTTCTCCAGGTTTTGATTTATGTGTATGGATTAGGGCATCAAATATATTACCAAGGAACCATGTATGAATAATTTTATAATTAAGTCACCATCCAACTTTTGATTTGTTTTGGTCAATGAAGCTAGTTGGAGGGTGCATCTCATAAATGCGAGATTTGTTTATTTAAAATAGACTTCCTCGTTATTAAAAAGAAGGGAATTACTTGAATGTCGAGGAGTTATTGATGACACCTCTACTCTTTTGAATGATCGTCCCTCGTACATAATTTGGGTGCCAATGAATTTTTTTGTTTGTTTGAGACTTTAGAATATGATGGACATGTAAACATAGGGACGAACCTAAGGGGGCAGGTAGTGGCCGTCGCTGCCTTAGCCTCCTGATACTCGATCTGATTTTTATTGACAAGAATGCAAAAGAAATATATTTGGATCTACATCATGATTAAATCCGATATCTTCTTCCAGTGAAACTATATTTATGTGTAGCTCTTCTCCTTAATGTTTCAAAAGCATAATGAATTTACAAAGTGAACGGCCAAGCGCTTGATGACTCGTCTTTCTGTATGCTAACATTGCTTTTGTACGGACTGCTACTCAAATTTCATTTTCATTCATGGCATGAGCATTGATATCTCTGAAGTTGGAGATTACAAATTTCGAAGGCACTGAAAAATAAAGATTCTAAGAGGGCAAAATAAAAGAAACATAGTAAAAGGACTCGAAATTGAGAAAAAGGATTGCAATTATCTTAATTCGCTCGAAGAAAGCTGGATTCTATGAGAAAAACTTGTTATAATTTCAGTCGCACAAAAATGATTACTTCAAACTATGGGCAGTTGCATGATCAAAATTTCCATCGGAGGGGTCCCAGGAAGAGAGATGAAACATGGAACAGTGTTATCATCTTGATGCAAATGTACTCCAGTGAATTTCCAACCCATTTCCATCAATTTTGAATTGTCAAATCCTAGAAGGATAGGAGATCTCGCTGTCCAAGCAATTATGATTGTCTTTGTCTCAACGGAAGACTTTCTTGTTTTTAGGGTCGCACTTGGCTGCTTAAACTAAAGAGGCCTCAACTGATCAAAGCTTAAATGTTTCTATTGTCTTGGACGTGACAGGACGGAAGAAAATCACACCCATATCATTAACTTTCCTCGCTTCTTTTACCTGCGGTACCCGTATCCTTGATTTACAAAATTAAGTTGCTAAGAAACTTGGTAGACTATTATCGAGTGCTTCAATGTCATGTGGTTGTAAGCTATTAATATAAACAGTACTTTTCATGTCTTATAACTTTTGAGTGCGAATTTAAAAGATGTTGTAAGTTGTTACAGCCGAGAAGGTGCTACAAGTATAAGATGTTTCTCAAGCACCTTATAAAAGTAGCGACGCATATTTTCGCAGCTGAAGCAGCTACAGAAAAGCTATACCTAATAACCACTTAATACTGATATGTCATTTTTCTTTTTTCAGTGATCACATGCTCGCGAAGGTTTGGAAAGCAATCTACAACTTAACAAAATGTTCCGGTACCCCAAAGAATGAATTTTTCTGTATTTCTACCGCACCCACAAGCTAAGCTGCCTAGCCGATTTCACACAATTTCAAGGGCAACTATTAAGTTTTGGATCTGCACAATCGTTCCATATATTCTGCACAACAAGATCATGAACAGGGATTAGCAAAACAAAGACAAGAATTTCACCCCGAATGGTATGTAATGTCTCATATTCCCTTTTTAAATCTTTTTCTTCTTCGTAATTCAATACTGGCTTTGACCAGAAATGGTAATCTTGCCAATGTTTGATTAATTTACCCTTAAGGAACGCAAGTCATGTTTGTTTATCGATACAAAGTTCTTAAGCATCTTAGATTAGTCTTATGTTTTAGATATTGAATTATAAATCAAGCACAAAATCGCGAAGTTAGACTACGGATTTTCTCGTAGTTCAAATTTTCCTGGTTCCCCTTAGATACTTTGCTTAAGTTGTATATTTCTGGTATTTTCGTCTCGAACTTTACTGTTATGATGCACATGTGAGTTGTGTTAAATAAATCCCATATCGAATAATTTGTGTGGTGTAGAGTAGTTAATATATATTAGTTGGCCCATAACTCATTGGCTTAAGCTTTTGAGTGAAGGTGAGTCCAACTGAATATGTTAACAGGCTTGGACTCAGGCTCCCTCTTGGTGATCTCCCCAAGCGATGTGATTTGTTCAGATGTGTGGTGGATGAAGTTGGGCATAATTTCCCGGCGGTGGGCATTGTGATGTAACAATGCAGGTCCGGTGGCAAGATTTCATATCTTGATGTAGAAGGATACCTGAATTAAGGGGGAGATCGTTAGAATGCACGTGTAAGTTGTGTTAAATAAATCCCACATTGAAGAATTGGTGTGGTGTAGAGCAATTAATATATATCTTAGTTGGCCCATAATTTATTAACTTAGATTTTTGAGTGAAGGTGGGTCTGATCGAATATGTTAACAGGCTTGGACTCAGGCTCCCTCTTGGTGATCTCCCCAAGCGATGTGATTTGTTCCGATGTGTGGTGGATGAAGTTGGGCATAATTTTCGGGCGGTGGGCATTGTGATGTAACAATGCAAGCCCGGTGGCAAGATTTCATATCTTGATGCAGAAGGATACCTGAATTAAGGGGGAGATCGTTAGGATGCACATGTAAGTTGTGTTAAATAAATCCCACATTGAAGAATTGATGTGGTGTAGAGCAGTTAATATATCTTAATTGGCCCATAATTCATTGACTTAGGTTTTTGAGTGAAGGTGGGTCCGACCGAATATATTAACAGACTCGAACTCAAGCTCCCTCTTGGTGATATATAGACTCTATGTTTATCTAATAATCACCTCCAAAAGTACAAGTGAGAAAGAGGGATCATGAAATGCTTTTTTTTTTGTCCTATAACTTTTTAAACTCTTAAGGATTTTTTTTTCTCTGTAATATGTTTTTTTTGTCAAAAGATATTTCCATTCATTACCAAAATGATACATGAAACGATCCATAGGAAATCTTAAAAGTCACCATAACAAGACAAGCCCATAGAACTCCAAAACAAACCAAAAATCAGAAATCAAGACACATCATCAGAGCATGGTTGGCAAAGATAATCATACGCTCGTCCTTCAAAAACATATTTGCGACTGTATCTAAGCGAAAAGATTGGCAGCCGATCACCAAATCACACATCTTCATTAGTGATGAGCACATGTCGGGATCTTCATATGTAGATACGATTTTACCTTTTGGCGGTGTGCGCCAAGATTCGGCATCCCCAACACCATCATTGTACAAAGAAAATATAAACATGTTGAACAAGCTCAGATCTGACACATGTAAAAGCAAGCCCTTTAGCAAGTACGAGAAGCCAAAGCTTTGAACAAAAACACATTGAACGAGCACAAATTTGACACCGAAAGTGCTGTGAACACTATTAAAACTGAAGGCGGAGTACTTAATTATTAAAACTTCAAAATCTAGAATTAGATTGGAGAGAAAAGCTTTTAGATCTAAGATCGGAAGAACAAAACTCCCATATCTAAAACTAGATCAGGAGAGTAAGGAAAGAAACAACAAGAAATAAGAGGAAAAGCAACGAGGGAGGAGAGGGAGAGATCTAGGTCAAATCCCTACCCTCTAGAAGTTGAAGAGACGAAGAAAAGCTTAAACACAAGAGAGGGAAAGAGGGAGGGAGAGAGACGGACGTGAGTTATTCTCTCTCCCTCTCTCTTTGCTTTTGGCTTTTTTGTCTGCACGGAGGAGAGAGGCTGGAACCAAATAAGGGAAAGTTTTGTAAATGGTCACACAGCTCGTAGCCCACATCCATCCGCCTTCGATTCCCAAAACACTGAACTAGAAACGACAAAGAAAAGGAATTGAAATCTCATATGGAAATACGAATCGTCGATAAAAAGCCCGGGCATGCCATTGATTTGCTGTACGTTGTACTAGGGCCAAATGGCATGCTGGTCCATCCCTAATTTTTGTTAAATCAAAATGTACTTATCCTTCTTTGAGATACTACTCCATTTCCAATTCGCAAACTCTTCAACTATTAGACGTTGAAAGAATTTGTGTCTAACTCAAAAGTTCAGAATAGTGATGATAAGAACATAGAGGATTGATTAGCAAAGCGATCGATGTTTATTCATCCACTATTAAATATTAGATATGAGTTACAGCTACACAGTACCACGTAAGATTCTCGAGACGGGCTTATCAACATAGCCCCACCGGCATGTCGACAGTCTATAATTCTCTCCACATAATGTGGCGGTGCCCATGAGCACAAGTTTGTCAGAGTTTTGATCCTGACAGAGCGAGAACTTGTTATCTTGTGGACAATAGGCAAGCATGAGACTATTGACCCAGCCAATCTTACTGGTGGGCCACCAACAAGAAGCTTGTGGGCTAAGGAAAGTCATCTTCAACAAAATTAATAGCTACGGAACAGTCATCTCTTTTTTTTATCACTTATGGAGACCAAGTCTATGGCTTGTTCTAACATAAGTTCTCTGGTGATAACAGTCTTGAAGACCACAGGGGCCACTATCAACAAGTCATCCATTGATTTCCATCATGCCGGTCTTTCCAAGTTTGTTTACGTACAAATCTGTTTCCATATAGGTGGAGATAAGTTAACCTGTTTTCATAGGTTTTGGGCAAATTCTTGCTTAGACTCAAGTCTACATGGACCCGACCCGATCCATTATATTCGCTAACCATGCGGGCCCCTTTTGGGAGTCACACTTGATCAACAGTTATGATTGCATATTGGGTCCATAAATTGGGATCCGCGCAATAGTTTTTCAAGTTTTGGTTTATGTGTATGGGTTGGATAACACACGTTTGATTCATATATTACCAAGTACTAGGTATAAAAACTTTCATAATTAAGTCACCTTCCTACTTTTGCTTTGCCTTTGTCAATGAAGCTAATTGGAGCATCTCATAAACGCGAGGTTTATTTATTTAATATAGACTTCCTTGTTTGCGACTAATTGGACATGTACACATAGGGACAAACCTGAGGTGGCGAGCAATGGCCATAGCTAGCTAATGGCCATTGCTACCCTGGCCTCCTGATAATCGGTCTAATTTTTATTGACAAGTGTGCAAAAGAAATATGTTTTGATGTAGGTCGTGATGAAATCCAATATATTCTTTTAAGTGAAACTGCATTTATGTCTGGCTCTTCTCCCTAATGTTTTCGAAAGCAAAATATATTCACAGAGTGAACAGTCTAAGTGCTTGATGACTCGTCTTTCTATATGCGAACATTGTTTTATATACCTACTGCTCTCCAAATATCACTTTTCGTTCATGGCATTAGAATTGATATGGCTGAAGTTGCAAGTTACAAATTTCGAAGACACTGAAAAGTGGAGATTTTGAGAGGGCAAAATCAAGGAAACATAATAAAAGGACTAGAAATTGAGAAAATGTGTCATGATTATGTTAATTCACTCAGGAAAAAACAGGAGTCAACGAGAAAAACTTTTTACAATTCTAATCGCACAAAATGTTCACTTCAAATAATGGGCAGGTGCATGATCAAAGTTTCCATGAGAGGGGTCGCGGGAAGAGAGATGAAACCATCAACCAAAGTCATCACCTTGATGCAGATGTACTCCGGTGAAGTTGCAACCCATTTCCATCAATTTTGGATAGGCAAAATCTCAGAATCGAAGGAGATCTCGCTGTCCAAGCAATTATGTTTGTTTTTTGTCTCAACGGAAGACTTTCTCGCTATTAGGGTCGCACTTGGCTACTTAAATGAAAGAGGCCCCTACTTATCAAGCTTGATGTTTCAACGCTCTAGCAGGACTGAAGAAAATCACACCCATGTCTCTAACTTTCTTCCCTTCTTATGGAACAAACCGTGAAAATCATGTCAAACTCGGTGTTTCAAATTCTTTTGCTTCTGGTTTCCCTCATGGTACAAGCATCAGGAGCCACACCGGGACTTGCAAGGCCTAACTGTGCTGAAACGTGCGGGAACGTCACCGTTCCCTTCCCCTTCGGAATAGGAATAGGGTGTTTCTTGGATGACTGGTATGAGATTGTCTGCCAGCAAAACAACACGGTCCCTATACTAAATAAGATTGGATTGAGAGTTCTCAATATTTCACTCCCCAATTTTCGTCCAGACGGGGATGGCATGATAAAGGTCAGTCTTCCAGTAATTTACTCTACGGCAAGCTGCCAGGGCAATGGACTTGTTGAGCCGGTGAGCTTAGAAGGAAGTAATTTTGTCTTCTCCCAGAGATGGAACGTCTTTACATCGGTCGGTTGTGACATCAGGGCAACGGTGATTAGTACAAAAGCAGATGGTATGGCCTTTACATCGACCGGTTGCAGGTCGAAATGTGCTGGAACCAACACCAACATTAGCTGGTATAGTGCTTGCTCCGGGAGAGACGGATGCTGCCAGACTAATCTCCCCTTTTATCTTCAGGCCTTTAGTGTGGATGTCAAAGAAGACGGTGGACAACAGGGGTGCAAGTACGCTTTCCTGGCAGATAGCTCATGGTTCTCGAATGTTACAGGTTTATATGATTTGAGATTGAATGATACGGTTCCAGTGGTGTTACAATGGGGGATCCAAAACGTTACCAACGATATACTTACCAACTATTCACTTGCGCTTCACGAAAGCTCGACGAATTCTGATGTTATCACGTGTGACACGAGGGGCTTGCCATATGTGGAGTGCTGGTGCCGAAGTGGGTATGGTGGTAACGCTTATATTATTGGAGGATGCCAAGGTAAATACTTCATTCTATCACATTCCGTTTTTAAGGGCACCATACAGCGAAGTGGTTTGTTCATTCCTGGATTTTTGGCATTCTCACCGTTTAATGATCCCATCCATGCTTTTCTGCCTTCCTTTTTTTTTTTTTCTGCCCAAGGTTATACAAAGTGAATGCACTTTCAAACAAAATTGAATCGGACAGTCCTATCTTTACAAGCATAATATTTAGCCATTCAATTAACAATTTATGAGGAAATGCGACTGGCTGCTCTCGCTAATTTCACTCAAGGTGATGGTAATTCACTGCTAATATATTTTACCATTTGTCATCAGATATTAACGAATGTGAAGATTCAAATATATGCCCCGGGACAGGCTCGACTTGTGTGAACAAACGGGGCGGCTTTGACTGTGTTGATGGTAGAAAGACAACTAAATTCATTCTCATTGGTGAGTAGATCTGTTAACCTGGAACTTTAGACAGCTTCATGCTCTTAGCATTGTTAGAAAAAAGCACAGCATAGCATAAATTATGTTCAGAAAAGGAATAGAAATAAGTTTTACCTTACCCATGGTATTAACTTGATTGTCCATTCGCTTGGTGAATGATATAAGATAAGTTTCAATCAATAGTATCTATGAAAACAACCTCAAAATTTTCTTTGCACACTAATACTTATATTTGATAAATAAGAAAGCACTTGAACTTATCAAGGTTCCTACGTACTTATTCTCGTCATATTTGAATTTGGATTACTACAATCATAATCAAGATGAATGCGGGTAGAAACTTTTTCGGGAGAAGAACACTAGAAGTGTCAAAAGTTGTGCATAGAGCTCACTTTAGTGCCAAAAGTTTTTTTCGGATCACTTAAGTGCCACTTTAAACAAAATGATCACTTAAGAATACCGATCTGGGTTGTGGGAAATCCGATGGCCATATTTTATTAATTTCTTAGTCCTACGTGGCTCGCCGGCGTGCCCAGTCAGCATATAACTCCTAAACGACGTCGTCTAAAAGTTGTAAATAGTGATCATTTAAGTGCCAAACTTTGTTTAAAGTGATCACTTCAGTGCCAGTCGTTGTTAAAAAACGATCACTTCAGTACCAGTCAGATTATGCGACATCATTTTGAATGTTACCGTGGATTGGATTTTTTTATAAATATGCCAAATCATATTAAAAAATTTAATTGTAAATACTACGTAATCAATTTGGTCGGAATTAGCGCTTAAGTGATCGTTTTTTCTCCGATTTGACACTTAAGTAATTCGAAAAAACTTTTAGCACTAAAGTGAGCACCGTACACAACTTTTGACACTTTTAGTGTTCTTCTCCCAACTTTTTCACTTTCATCTATGGTTTGCTGAAATCCTTGCAAGAAAGATCAATTGTACAGTGCACATGCATGTATAGAAATTTGATCGGACCGAATTTGAAATGGGGACAAGTTAATTTTTCGTGGTTGTTAACATAAATCCACAGGAAAGGAAACTCCGGTTCATCACTCATATATGTATCCATTTGAATCAGATTCTCTGAAATTCTTGATGATAAGTGCCGTTATAGACTCTTGACAAGCAGGGTACATTTTTCTCACTTTTGCCCCGCAAACTTTTGCAATGCAGGGGTTGGGGCAGGCCTTGGGGCACTACTTTTGTGTCTTTTCTTATGGTGGTTGTACAAATACATCAAGAAGAGAAAAGAAATCAAGCTCAAAGAGAAGTACTTCAAACGCAATGGCGGTCTTTTGTTGGAAAGTGAGCTATCTTCACCAGAAGGCAATGTCGAGAAAAGCAAATTGTTCAACTCCAAGGATTTAGAGAAGGCCACTGACAATTTCAATGATGATAGGATACTCGGGCAAGGTGGGCAGGGTACCGTTTACAAGGGAATGTTAACAGATGGAAAAATAGTTGCGATTAAGAAATCGAAAGTGATAGATGAGGGTAAAGTCGAACAGTTCATAAATGAAGTCTTCATTCTCTCACAAATCAACCACAGGAATGTGGTTAAGTTATTAGGGTGTTGCTTGGAGACGGAAGTGCCGCTATTAGTATATGAGTTCATACCAAATGGGACTCTATACCAATACCTGCATGACCCAAATGAAGAGTTTCGTGTATCGTGGGACACACGTCTACGAATTGCAACTGAAATCGCAGGAGCCTTATTCTACTTGCATTCAGCAGCCTCCATTCCCATTTATCATCGAGACATCAAGTCCACCAATATCCTCTTGGATGAGAAATATCAGGCAAAAGTGGCAGATTTCGGTACATCCAAGTCTGTTTCCCTCGATCAAACTCATGTGACCACATTGGTGAAAGGGACTTTCGGCTACCTAGATCCCGAGTATTTCCAATCGAGTCAATTCACAGACAAAAGCGATGTGTATAGCTTTGGAGTTGTCCTTGTTGAACTCTTAACGGGCCAAAAGCCAATCTCGTCGCTGAGGGAACAAGAAGGAAGAAGCCTCGCAACCTATTTCATAATTTCGATGGAGCAAAATCGCTTGTTCGACATTATGGATGCTCAAGTTTTGAAAGAAGGTAAGAAGGAAGATATCGCATCAGCTGCTATCCTTGCGAAAAGGTGCTTATACTTGAATGGGAGGAACCGACCTACAATGAAAGAAGTGGCAATGGGGTTGGAAGGGATAAGGAAGCTCCCAAATCCTTTAGATATTCAGCAAAATCAAGAGAACCGTGAGGCAACTGAATCTTACAATGTTGCTTTTCCATCTAGCAAGTCAAACATTGATATGGATGTCATTACACTGTCGGATGTGCAGCCACTCTTACCTACCGAGACGTGGTGAATATTTGTTTTGCCTCTTACACCAATGAGTCATATTGCTGTGTTTGTCATGGAAATCATTGTTCAGACCAAAGGAAAGAAGGGAGGAAAACTTGTTCGTTTACTAATAGGAGGACTTGGTTTGTTATTTATTGTTTATGAACTTATTCTCGATGTATGGGAATAAACTGTATGTCATACTTATCCCAAATTTATTAAGGTGCTGTAATTAGCTAGGCATTATCGTACGGTGTATGTGCCAATTGGGAAATATTTTGCAAATTGCAATCATCTAGCTCGAGCATGATGCAACAATTTTACTTCATTTTGAGATCCATAAATACTTGTTGTCAATTTTATCATTGCAGAAATTACATCAGTCACACGAGTACTCATACGAACAAGCATCTTTGTTGCACCAGCCTTCACCATTCAGTCGGCTTGTTACACGCAGATGCTCAAAAGATGACCAATTTGGTGTGGAAATCTTCTAAGATGACCAATCAAACTGGCCATGTTAAATCTTGGCCAGCACAAAGAAGGCTCTTGGAAAAAAAGGGGAGAGAGACAGACGACTTCCATATCTAATGAATCGTATGAATTGTCGTGCTCTTTGAGAAGTCAATGACGACTTTGACTTGTGGTCGTCTTTATTTTGGACACATGTCCCACTATTGAACTTTTTTTTTATTGATCAATTGAAAAGTTTATGATTGAATTGGTGACCGTACGATAGGTTTATGACTTTTTGAACCAAAAAATACATCTTTTACCTTTACATCCTCCATCAAGCCATCAAGATATGGGTTACTGGCATAGCCGCAGTCCCGGTTACACCAACCTAGTGCAAGTTGTCAATGCAGAAGTCGTACTGGGTGACCCGGCCCTGGAGGCTGCAATTTGGCCTGCTTGGGGAGCGGAACAGTGTTGATTCCCCATTGCAGGGTCACCAGGGGATTCGTTCCTAGACCTCAACAGCTTCTTCCCCGACGCAAGCTCGGTCTTCCCTAGCCATTTCTGACGGGGAAGGTGAACCTGCATCCACACTTTACCCCTGATGGTATTCTAAGAATGTTGCCATCTAGTGATGCTCCGGCTTGCTCAATATCATTTAAATCCTCACTACGCGATGTATCGAACTTACCATCCGAGCAACATAATTCAAAATCAAAGAACTCCACTAATTAAAGAGTTATCTCTTCCCATCCTTGCGAACCCTTCTTGTCAATTCTCAATTTGTTCCAAACGGTAGGCACTGTTTCATATTCCTTTTTCTACCTTAGTTATCTATCTTATTGGACGTAAAAGAAAAGTATCGGAGATGTTGGACGCTCTTTTTTCATATTTCAATTGTTTATGTCGTTATAGTATATTACTGGCTGTGGCCAGAAAAAAAATATGATCTCGCCAATTTTTTATTAATTTAATTCCCCTCAGAGACTCTCCTTGGGTTGTATATTTCTTGCATTTGTGTCTAAATCTTCACGCATTCCTAACTATTTGAGTAGGAACTTTTCGATCAAGTTCATTATACTTTCACATGTGCATTAAATCTGTTTGCTGAAAAAACATCAATGACTGTAATTTTTAAATATTGTTTTGCTTTATTATATTTTTCCTTTCTTGATCTCAATGTTTAGATTTTATGTTTATCTAATAATCACCTCCAAAACTGCAAGTGAGAAAGAGGGATCATGTCTTCTTCTTTTGTTTTCTTATATACATATATATATAAATAAAACCATCCACATGGTTAAATAAAAGTGCGAGCATTATAAATAATAAAGAGACCGTATGCAATATACAGAACAAAAAGGAGAATTGCTAGGAATTCTAAACTAACCATGTAGGTGATATTGCTAAGCAGAATGAAAAGGGTAAAACGGTAAGAAGAAGTAAGGATATATAACAATTGCAGAGAAGTGCTTTAAAGTAAAGTATAAACCATCCACAGGCGGTTCGACCTGCCGTTTGTGGGGTGTGTATATGCAGATGAAAGAAAGTATTAAGAAGAGATTACTGTTATTCAAACAAGATGGAAAGATTACAACAACAGTATTGAAAGATTACAGAATGTAAGTATTGAAGTACAAGTGCAGAAATAAGGAAATTTCTTTGGTAGAAATTCTCCCGTTACTCAGACTATTGGTAGTCTAGAACGATAAGATTTTCTACGCTATAAAAACTGGAAAAGGATTTGAAAGATCCTTGAAAGTCTTGGGACAAGATCTTTTCAGGGATTAGAAGCTTACTGTTTTATGGAAAGGTTATGGAAATGTTTGAGATGTGAGATCTCTTATTCTTCTGAAGAAGGATTGGAGAGATCTAGAGAAGCTAGAGAGGTTTTGAACTCTGAGAAGAAAGGTCTGAGTCGGTGCCCTTTCAAGTGAGTGAGGTCTGGTTATATAAGCAGGCTGGGTTCCTGTAGAAATAGTTCACGGGTAGTACTGTAGCAAATAGTAGTAAGTGCACAGTGTTACAGTGAATAGTGGCCAGTCATTATGAAAGTTTTGAAAAAGAAAAAGCTGATAGACTTCTTTCGGCTTAGACATTATGAAAACAGCCGGGAGTCTTTCGGCGCCTTTCTCTCAGGAGAATCTTGAGAGATCTTCCACTTGTTCAGGTTCTTCTTCTTCTTCATCATCCTTCGCACTTGCCCAGTTGTGAGGAATAGGGGCTATTCCAGGGATGCCATAGCAGTCATCTTCGTTGGAGTTGCCACTGTGATGAGAAGAAGCGGTTTCTTCTAAATCTAAAAGGACTTGTTTTAGCATCCCCGCTAACTGTTGGTGAGATTTAGCGGATGCTAGTCTAGAAAGCATAAACCCTTTGTCATGTAGAAAGGGGGATCATCAGAACTGATGGGGATGGAACCCCTAGAAATTAGCCATTCCTTGACGGCTTGCTTGGTGACCCTGTCAAAAAATTTGAAACAATCCCACCATTTGACTTTGAATCGTCTTATGAGAATGGAGATGCTTGTCTCAATGGCTTTTCTATAATCAAAATACCAACCCAGGACCCAAGATACTCCGAAGTAATAGAAAAAGAGCATGAGCTTGGGAAAGTTTTTCTCATATGGAAGCGGAGAGAATTTTTCTAGAAAGAGTTCATAACTAGGTTGGATTCTTGGGTGGATTAGTTCATCTGTTGGTCCCAAGTGTTCCCACCATCTGATAAACCAATATGGAACAAGTTTGATATCAAAATCTTCGAAGAAAAATAACCAGGTATGGGTATTGTTGCTGTTTTTCCTCCAAAAGGTATTCCACCAAGCTTGTTGGTAGTCAAAATATGAGAAGGACGTCCTGTAAGGGAGGGCTTCATTTGTTTTGGTATTGAATTTTCTCAAGGCCAATGGATCAGGTTTCCATTGAGAAGGGTGGATGACCCTATGAATTCTGGCCGTGGAATAGTTCACATGACCTTTGTCCGAGAAGTGTCGGAAGGTAACGGATTTGGTTTCTTCCAGAATTTTTTCATAAAACTCATTTGTTTTATAAATATCATGAGGAGTATATAAGAATTTTTCAGAAAACATGTTTTGGGCAAAAACATAAGGATTTTCATTATAAAAACCATTTTCAACATTGCAAATGTTTTGAAATATTGTTTTATGGAAAAATTTTGATTTTGGAGGGGTTGTCTGAGTAGACTGAATAACCACCTCACTAGAAATTGTTTTTCCCTTTACCTTTTGAGTGGCTACGGGAGAGGGATCAGGACTTACCATTGCCAGTGAAGACTGTGGTTGGCTATTGAAGGCTTGTTGGAGAAGCTGTAATGCTTCTTCCTGGGATAATTGAGTTATATCAAATTGTGAGAGTTAATTGGAATCAGAAGGATTTTCTGTAAGAGAAATGGGTTGTCCCTTGGCTTGGCTAGAAATGGTGGTAATATTCAAGGGTGACTGTGTAGCCTGAAGCCAGGTCTTGATATTAGTTAGTCCTGAGGGTTTCTTCTCAAAAGAGGGTTCTGCAATTTGTTTGCCTTTGTCTCTCCTTGTAGGTTTGTTGGGTGGTTTGGGAGGCATTTTCCCTATAAAAATTCTCTTGTGAGAAAATCTGGGAGAGAATTTAGAGAACCATTTATGAATTCTATATCAAAATCAAAAACAGATAAAATGGCTTGCCATCTGGCGAAAATCTGTTTGGAAGCAATATTTTGAACATCTTTCTGCAAAACATCTTTTGCAGATTTGCAATCAATTCGTAAAAGGAACTTTTGATTTAAAAGATCTCCTTGAAACTTAGAAATAGAAAGTACAATAGCAAGAATTTCTTTCTTAATGGTGGAGTAATTCTTTTGGCAGTCATTACAATGTTTGGAAACAAATTGAACAATTTGTTCCTTATTGTCTTTGGATTGTTTAAGAATTCCTCCGTATCCAATATCAAAAGCATCAGTTTCAACAATTTTAAAAGCAAAAGGATCAGCAAGATGTAAACAAGGAATTTTTTTGACAGTTCGCTTGATCTGTTTTACAATATCAGTATGGACCTGAGTCCATGGAGGAGGATCTTTCTTGAGCCTCTAATGGAGTGGTTTGCAAATTATATTGATGCGAGGAAAGAATTCAATAATATAATTCAAACTTCCTAGAAATCTTTGCAATTGATTTTTGTCTCTGATTTCATCGGGAAATTTCTCAGAAAATATTATTGATCTCTAAATGGGAATGATGGTTCCTTGATGGATGTAATGTCCTAGAAAACGAATCTTTGTTTTGAAAAGAGATATTTTAGTGGGTGAAACTACTAAACCATTTTTCTTCACAATATTGACAAAATGATTGATGTGTTTATAATGTTTTTCTATGGATGCAGAAAATATTAAAACATCATCAATATAAACAATAATATAATCAGAACAATGATTAAAAATATCATTCATTATCCTTTGAAATTCAGATGGGGCATTTTTCAATCCAAAAGGCATGACATTCCATTCATATTGGCCAAAAGGAACAGTAAAGGCTGTCTTATATATGTCCTTTTCACTAATTTGAATTTGCCAGAAGCCTGATTTCATATCAAATTTAGAAAAGATCTTTGCATTACAAAGCCTATTTAATAAATCCTTTTTGTTAGGAATTGGATACCTTATCCATTTTAAAGCTGCATTCAAAGGTTTATA